GGGTGTAATGTATGTGTAAATCAGTATATAAATGACTAAACTTAAAAGAAATTTAACCACATATATATGTATATTTATGTATGTGTATATGAACACATGCATTTCTTTATATCACTAAACCTTTATGCATCCCAGTAGCTTTGTGGTGTTTAACAGACATATCATCACTGGAGTTTGAAAACTTACAAATTGCTTGGGAAATACGGGTATCTTTCACTATTCTATCGTAGTTTGTGGAATGACTTTGAAGTAATTTCCTTTATATAATTGGCAGTTCCCATTTCGCTACCTTAACCATTTTAGCTTCTGTCTTGGCTCATGTCCCACTCACAATACTTTGTTACGGTAGTTTTTTCTTACAGACAGTATGAAAATTGTAATGAGAATGGTACTTGTTACCATCCTTCATATTATCTAAATATTGATATATATACATATATATACATATTTGATGTACATATTTATGTATATGTATGTGTATTTGTGCGTATATATTTATATTAATTCTTATCATTATTACTACACTCTTAACCTTATGCAATGATCATTACTTTCGTTACCATCACCACTATAAGGTCTTATTAATTATAATTATTAGTTATTGATGTACGGTATTACACTATAGCAAATCATTCATTTTATCAATATAATTATCATTATTATATTATTTGTCATCTAATTCTTATTCTTGAGAAAAGAAATATCACTATTGTGAATATTACTGCTTTCCTTTTAGATTATTATTACTATCACTGCTTTCATCATAACCATAGCTATCTTCATTGCAATTAGTGCTATAATTATCATTACTTAATCATTAATACTACAAATAACGTGTATAGGAGTAAGAAATCATATAGATATGTTCAGAAATGTTTGTTTATAAAATATTACAATGGACTTCACGCTTTACATGGATGAAGAGAAGAGAGAGAGAGAGCATTCGCAGGAGAATCCCTTCCGTTACTAGCATGACTTGTGTCGGTACGTGAAGAACGCAGTTCTTCAGTCACGCGGTTGTTCTCCACTGCTTGAAGGACTTACAGGGGTTCTTGGTGGTTCCATGATGCCCATGGAGTATTGGCGTGTGAATAGGCGATTCGTTGAGAAGCGTGCTGGCGTGTTAGGCGGGAAGGTGGCATGAGCAGGCAGATGGCATCTTGTAGATGTCGATGAAGAGGCCCCTGTAGGGGTCACATGGGTCGTAGGAGAGGAGTCGGTGGTACACTGACTTCTGGGTGCAGTGGCTCTGGTAGCAAGGAGCAAGGGCGCGGCAAGCAGCCTCTGGGAACAGACAAGTCTCGAGGCGGGCAGTCTGGCTGTAATAGTGAACGTCGTTGACAATGACGCGCCACTTGCCTTCCACATTCTGGGCACGCTTGGGCATGGCATACACCACTTCGGAGGGACAGATGTAACCCTCAGGACCAGCCCAGTGGGTGGCATCGTAGGGAGAGTCCCCAGTGGAGGCCCCAGTGTAGTAAGAGTAGTCGAAGGCCTCCTCCTGGTCCTTGGTAATCATGTCTACCAGGTCGTCAGCAGACTGGTCGGCGACGTCAGCGTACTTCTTGGCGAAGAGGTGATCGGCAGTGATGGCAGCCTTGATCTCGTACTCGGGATACTCAGCGTCTTCCAAGCAGTAGGAGAGAGTGGAGTTGTCAGCGCATGCGGGGGCCACACTTGGGTCGCAGTAAGCGTGCTCATAGGCATGCTTGTGGCCGTAAGCAGGTGCATGATGACCATAGGCAGGCGCATGATGAGCGTAAGCAGGCTGTGGGTGATGTCCATATGCTGGAGGGTGGACGGAGCCCAGAACCCCCGGCATGCCAGATACCGATCGA